TTTTTTTTAAGAGAAAGGAAAAAAGAAAATGCTTTTCTTAGCAGTTGAAGCAACTTATTGAAGCATTTTGATGCCACCAAACAAGAGACACATTCTCATCCCACATCCCAACTCCCAACTCCACCCAAGAACCCAAACAGGGCAAAAGCAACTCACACACCATTCAAAACTCCATTCTGTCCTTCCCTTCCCCAACTTCAAAACCCCATAAAACAAAATGAATTCTCTCTCTGTTTTTTCAATATTCATTCTTTGTTTTCTGGGCAGTAAAATGGGACATTGCTTATCTGGTGACTTAGAGCCAGCTCTGGTAGTGAAGAGGAGAACAACTATTATGAGGCATAGACAATTAAACACTTAAACAAATTCAACACTTTTGAAAATGATGGGAGAGCTGGAACCTATTTTCACTGAACAAGTACCATTTAATCTGCGCCGCTTGCTATCGCTTTTCTCGGCAATCATAGTTGAAGAAGTATATGTGGTCGTGGTGGTGATTGTTGTGCTGCTAATTGTGTTCTCGGTTTGATCTGATTTGGTGAGCTGACGGTCCAGCACACTCATTATTGGGGTTCCTTCTTGTGCATGACCAAGTATCTAACATGGACTCACTCGTACCCTTTATTCACCATCATTTCTAGCACCAAATTCAAGCGTTTGAACAAACTCTCCTGTAATGTGAGAGCAATATAGGGACGTGTAATTTCTATACGTTAAGTGGAAAAGAAAAAGGGCGGAGAGAACTTTGTTAACTTAAACATGTTATGTGCTACAAAGATTGTGCTTACTTTATTTACATATTAGCAAGATGATATTAAAGCTCTAAACGATGGAAACTGCAGTGGGATCAGCTCTTCAGAAAAGAGAGAAAGAAAGGCAGAAAAGAAAAGTGTTATTGATCTCATCCGCCCATACCCGCCTAGGCCGATTTTATTATCATATTACCGAGTATACCTGATTTTATTATTATTTATATTTTTTTCTTCTGATGATTCATAAATAGTATAGCCGATCGGCTATACTTTGAGTTGTGTATATATTTGAAGAGTAGCGGCTATACTATTTATGAAAAAATAAAAATGAAAAAAAGGGACCTGAGTATATCCGAGCGGCTATACTGTGTGAATATAATATATTTAAAACGAATAGCCGCTCGGCTATACAATGTATTAAAAAAATTTAAATAAAACACCGTAGTATAGCCGAGCGGCCATACTAGTTATAAACAAAATTAGGAAAAAAAGACCCCATTATAGCCACTCGGCTATACTATTAATTAAAGACAATTACAAAAAACACCGCAGTATAGCCGGGCTATACTCTTTAAATATATTATATTTAAAAGGCATAGTCGTGCGGCCATACTATTTATATAAAAAAAAACATTAAGAAAAAAAAAACCATAGTATAGCCGCCTAATAGCAGCTAGGCGGCTGATTTATTTTTTTAATTTTTAGAGAAGGGTATCTTTACTCGAAATTGATGTGATTTTGAAAATCATTAGACTGATAAACCTTTACTTTGCCCCTCTTATGTCCCACTATAAGTGTATTTCAAGTACCATATGCTCGGGAAAGATAGTTAACATAGAGAGGTTATGCTGGAAGCAAAACATAAGCTTTCCAGTTTGAGAGTTTGCAAAGAAGGGTGCCCTAGCAATTTTGAAATTTTGTGGCATACTTCCATTAGTTTATACTTTATAGTTATTAATTTGCTATTTTCAACATATCCAAAGTCGATATTGAAAATAGAGAAATTTCACAGTAAATCAATATGAGAGTTAAATTTTTTCTCCCTTCTTTTTCTCTCTTCCTCCGATGATGGATTTCTCTCTTCTTTCTTGTACCACCCTTTATTTTCTCTTGCCACTTGAGCTACACTACTTTCTCCCCCCTCAGGCACCTCCACTTTGAATTAAGACTAAATAATTACTCATTCATTCATTCAGGGTTTAATAAGTACGATCAAATTCCTTAACAGAGCTAGTTTCCTCCATCTTTGTTGATGTGTGAACGCGTCGTGCTGGTAAAAGAATCTAGCCTACTAACTGAGGTCATTGTAAATCTCTTCTAATTACTTTTACAAAGACTTTTTTTGAGAGAAAGTACTTTTACAAAGATTAAGTATGATGATTGATGAATCCCTTTTATGAAACCTAAATAAACTTTAGTTCCATGCAATCTCTAGTAATGGTTGTGATTGTGAATATAGTCCATTTTCCTTTTTGTTCTTCCTCTATTTGGTACCATACCACCTCCTCTTTTCATTTATTGCTTGCATCACATCACCTTCTGATACAAAAGGGTTCTGATTATTGGTACTGAATGTTGTATTTCGAAGGAGAGTTTCCAATATACAACCATCTTTGCACGCAAGACGCTTTACCAGTAAAAAAGCATACACAACACAAAACAGAACAATAATGAGAGGGTTCATTATGAAAATATCAGCATCATCTTTGAGCCAAGCACTCAAACATATTATGGGGCCAATGCAAACTTCATTTCAACAACAGGTAACATTTTACTAACATCATACCTTTACAATCTTTGAATGAGGATGCCATTTATGATCAAAATAAGATAACAATCTGTAGGCAAAGGAAACAATCTTTTGGTAATGCAGAGAGAAATCATTCAAGCTAGCTAAGGAATAGACGCCAACTCTCAACTCACACATCCTATACTTTGACGGAGAAAATCTCTTGCAGAGCAGACCAAGTTCCTGAAAGCGCAAGAACAAGTCCTAACACCAAAATGCTTACGTCTGAAGACCATTGTCTCCACCCCATCTCTCCCTTGAAAACCATCAGGTGAAACAAGGTAGGCAAAACAAACCCCAATGCACAGCACACACCACTCCCCACCAAAGACATGAAATCAGCAAAATTGGGGACCAACAAAGCCACCAAACTCACAGCCAAAACCAGCACCCACCTCAACCATAAGCAGTACCTCCCGCTCCAAAACCGCCTCTCCACGATCTCATAAACCGGGTGCATCATTATAGGCAATGTGAAGAATAGATTCACCACAAGACCAAGCTTCACCAGAGTGCTGATCACGCCTGCACCATAATTAGCTGTGATCATGTCCTTAGTTTCTTCCCCAAAAGCAAAGTAACCCAAAGCTCCAAAGCTTCCATACATCAAAGAAATGAAAGTCATGGTCCAGCCCAGGATCCGCCCAAACTTGTCCTTGTCTTTGGTCTCTGTCTCTAAAGGCAAAACCATCCCAACCCCTTCAAACGAGTACACAGCCACACCCAAGCCATAAAAGAACAAAGAAAGGTCCCCAAAGGCCTTCACTTCAGGCCTTTTTGCCGCCATAACCATCACATCCTCCACCATCACCACGCCCATTGCTCCAAGATCAATCACATCAGCAAAAATACTCAAAGGGGCTAAATGGGTCAACGTTGCAATCGAATTCAACCCCAATTGGAACGGAAAACACCCCCAAATGTAAAAGCTTTTTGGTGCCAAACCCAAAATCTTGGGTGTCAAATGGGTTGCTGTGGGTGCATTTAGCAAATGGGCCATTGTATTACCAATAAAAATGAGATAGCCGACGCAAAACCCAGCCTGAGCAAGAATGATAAGAACATCGACCACCAACCTCCCTACAGTGCCACAAACGACGAAACCCAAGTCCCCAAAAGATGGGATCTTCGTGCATCCATTGGTAGACTCAAGCTTTCTTCGGGTGTAGACCAACAGCATCATACAATGGTGGGTAAGAAACGCCACGAGCAAAAGGGTGAGGAGGCTCATGAGCCACCCAGTGCGCTTGAAAGAATAAGGCAAGCCCAAAACGCCTGCACCCACAATAGCGATGAAGACATTGGCAAAGGTCTTGCCTTGGGACGACAATGGCTTCGGGTCTCCGATCAGCGGTGTGTTTTCTGATGGGGCTGGTGGTCTGAGGCGCTGAGACGACGAGCTTGCTTCTTTGTCAAAACCCATCTTGATCCTTGTTTTGATTTTGACCCCGGATTAACAAAGATCAAGAACAAAAGCTTCCAGATGGGTTTTGATTTGATTGGCGATTTTGATGAGAAATGGCGAGATGGATGAGTCCTTTTTCTTGAAGAGATTTATATGTTTGGTATTTGCCAAAAAGTTGGGAAGATCGGAGGAGTATGGATACCAGTAATGTGCTTAGGTTGTTTGTTTAAAATTTCACCTGAAAACTGCATTGGATAATTTGGCTTATGATAGAAATAGAAGGAAATTAATTTTATTTTATCTTTGATTCGGCAAGAAAATGAAAACACACCCGTAATAACTTTACCAATTATATTTAGCAAACAAAACTAATGATTAGGAAAAGTTAGAAAAAGAATCCTCCAGACATATATGATGATAAGTGTCATGATTCAATGTTCAAGGTTTCAATTGTGATTTGTAATTTTTTTTTGTCACGGTTGGGAAAGAGGAGGGGTATTCTCGCTCGCTATGCGTGACATGGAGAATCAAACCGCATACCACTAACTTCCATATCAACAATTTTACCATTGAATTAAGACCCTACATGAGGAATTGTAATTTACTACACATCTATTATGGTTTAATATTATTCGGGTGCTTCTTTCAATACTAGGTATCTATTTTTTGCGTCATCAAAGACAATGATCAAGTTATTTGAACATTATTTTAATATTTGAAAGAAAATTACCACTAAATTAAGACGTCGTTGATGCATAAAAACTTAAAAAGACGGTAGGTTTCAAACATAGATATTTTGGTGGATAAAAACATAAACAGGTAATCAAGATTCAAGATTATAGCCCATTATCAAAGCACAACAAAATTGAAGATTATATCCCATGATTTATATTATGAGATGATAAGATAAGGTTGACAAATTGGAAACATATATTTTTTTGGTAAACAAATTGGAAGTATCTTTCTCTTATAGGATTTGTTGTAATCATCCAATACAAAGTCATTGTGGGGTTACTACTAAAAAGCCCAAACTCCTTCCTTTTCTTTCCTTCTTTCCTGCCAGAAAGCCCATTTCTTCTTCTGGTCCAAAGAAAAGAAAAAAGCAAAAAAATTGGACAGTGTAAGTGAGCAAGAACAGCCGGCGCGGGTTAGCAAGCCATGGAACTTGACTAACAGTTATTGCCCAGTAAAGTAAACGCGATCAAAATTCACCAAACACACAAATGAAGAACGTTCTTTTGTGATCCTTGTAATTTAATCTGATTCATTTTCATGTATAATTTGTGAGATCGGAAGCTACCGAAAATTTGTTGGCACCAAAAAGAAAACAAAAATGAAGAAAATTCTCTGCGATTTTCGGTTCCTCCTATTTCTCGCTGCTGCGGCGTTCATCTATATCCAGGTGCCCCCAAAACCCTAATTCTCTCGCTGCTGTTTGTTTCAAATTCATCAATCGTGTTGTTCATATTGAAATGCATGTACAGTTGTTGCAGTAGCTGAAATGACAACCAGTTTTCTTCTTGTTGTGTATTTTGTAATTTTTTTTTCGCTTATAGATGCGGCTTTTCGCGACGCAATCACAGTATGCTGATCGTCTTGCCGATGCGGTATGTCTAAATTATGAGCCTGTTGTTGTATCAGAGTGGTTCATGAAAAATTGGTCTACAATATGAACTCTTCTCTTCTTCATTTGATGATAAATGGGAACTGGGCTGTAGATATCAGTTTATTTTAGCTCATGTAGCTTTTTCTTAGCTGCAACATTACTTGGTAGGATTATTATCTCTTGCTGTTTCATTGTCGTACTTGGTAGGGTTATTATCTCTTGCTGGTTCATTGTCGACTTAAACAAATTGAGCAAAAGAAGAAAGTTTGACACAGCTTCAATCTAAATGTTTAAAAGATTCTTTTTATTTTCCTTTCTTCGTGAACCAAATGGCTTATTTGCTGCATTGGAAGCTTCTTGTGGGTTGAAAGTTCATTACTTTATTTTGACATTTACTGTTCTTTTACAGATAGAGTCGGAGAACCAATGTACATCTCAATTGAGAACACTAATTGATCAAATAAGCTTGCAACAAGGACAAATTGTTTCCCTAGAAGGTGTGATATATTTCGAGCACTCGAGTCTTTCATATATTTTTCTATATATTATAGGGCTCACAACTATCCTGTCTTTACTCATGTACTAATGAGTAAGCTTTAAATTTATCAATCATGTTGGCCATTTTTTGGCAGTTTCTTCCAGTTGTACTGTCTGCATCATGCTGTGAGAATTTGTTTTGATCAGTGAATTACTGTCATATAACTTATAGTAACAACATGGTTTCTGGAGGTCTTTATCCCTTTTATGGCTTCTTTGCCAAAACATACTAGTGATATCCCTTCTACTGTAATTTATCTGGATTCAGTCTGATTATTGCATTGATTGTATAGGCCTTTTGTTACTCTTTGGTAGCCGGTTAGTTTCGATGGACTTCTTGTCCATCTTTTCTGTATCCTTATTTTTATAAAATTTTGATTTCCTTTAAAAAAAAAGTATGACACTGGACTGCTGCAATTGTAGAAGAAAAGCAACGGCTAGAGCAAGAGTGTGGACAACTGAAGGTCCTTGTTCAAGAACTTGAAAGTATGTGCTTATCAGAAAAAATCTTTTTCTTAAAATGATATTTAAAAGCACCTTCCAGTTACTTATTTTCTATTCTTGGAAGATGTCTTGTGCGCTTTAACGTTTTTTATTTTCCAAAGCACTTTTTATTCTTTTCAGCCATTCCAAAGAACTTAGGATAACTCCTCTGTTGTTGTTGTTGTTTTTTTTATAAATTTATTTTCAGGGAAAGGCCTAGGTAGGCTGATTGACAAAGAACAGGTGCAGATGAATGTGTTACTTTAGGCTTTCCTTCTTCCTAGAAATCATAACTTGTCATTATTTTTAACCATTATTTCTAATGAACTTGTTAGGTGCCAGTGGCAGCAGTTGTAATTATGGCATGCAATCGTGCTGATTATCTGGAAAGAACTGTTAAGTCAATTTTAAAGTAAGTTTCATGTTCTTGTCAAATAAAAAGTAAGTTTTGTGTTTATACCATATTGCACAGTGCAGTTTTTTTTCATTTGTACACAGTTGAGCTGACCCACTAGCCTAATTCTTCAATTATATAGATATCAGAGTTCTGTTGCTTCAAAGTTTCCTCTATTTGTCTCCCAGGTATCTATGTGCTTAATCTTTCATAAAATACTATGAGTGTCATTGACACTCGTCATTCTTTAGCAGTGATCTAGGAGAGAAATAGATAAACATGGTAACTTCGTTTTTCTCAGGATGGATCGCATCCAGCTGTCAAAGAGAAGGCTTTGAGCTACGATCAGCTTACCTATATGCAGGTAAGTTGTACATTTTAAATCAAATTTTATATTCTTGGGAATATCTTAGACGTTTGCAACACCCCAGGACAGCCATAAGTCCTGACTTCAATTCATTGCAGCATTTGGATTATGAACCCGTTCATACTGATAGACCTGGGGAGTTGATTGCGTACTACAAAATTGCACGTAAGGAATCTGCGAGTCTTCTGTTAAGCATCTATTAGCTTCAGTACTAAATCCTGGTTTTTCCATAGGTCATTACAAATGGGCATTGGATGGATTGTTCTACAAGCATAACTTCAGCCGAGTAATCATACTCGAAGGTGAAAACAGTGTTCCTTGGATTATCCTGTCAGTTTTTCTTTCTTTCCGCTTTATTACAAAGCTCTAAGTATGCTTTGCTGATACAATCCATCATATTTGAACACAGATGATATGGAAATTGCTCCTGATTTTTTCGATTACTTTGAGTCGGCAGCAGCTCTCCTTGACAAGGATAAGTATGTCCTCTAGATGAACCTGAGGTCTTGTACCTTGAATACTACGTTGTTAGATAATTGTTCCAGACTCCAGGAATTCTGGTTTCTCCTCACTTTTTTTATATTTAAACTGTGGTAGGTCTATCATGGCTGTTTCCTCGTGGAATGACAACGGGCAAAAGCAGTTTGTACATGATCCTAGTGAGTTGTCATCAATTTTTTTAGTTTATCTTCCTCATATTGAAATCAAGCTTAATACAACTTTTATTTCTCAAGAACCAATTGAGATCTCTGTCCCACCCTTTGTGGGTGTGCTCTGTGATTGCATGAAGCAAATATGCTTGTTTTTGTGGGAGGAGTGATGCTTATTTGGGTAAATATATTGTTTGTTCAGTCTCCTGGATCATGTAGGTTTGTAACATATTGTTCCTATCTTTAAGGTTTGACAATGGTCTTTGCATCTAAGTCTTTATATACATTTATCTAATATGGTCAATTAATATATTCTGGCAACATGTTTACCATCCCAATCTCTCGCTCTCTCTCATCCTTCCCCCTCCCTCCTCTTTGAGCTTGTAAGCCATAGTAATTGTTTTGACGTTATGGTACAATCGTCTTACCAACAAGTTAATGCATCATCAGTATTTACTGCTAATGTTTGGACACAAGACATTGACACTTGTCAGAACCATTATGCTCTCTGATCTGCTGTCTGATCCACTCTGCAGAAGTACTTTATAGGTCGGATTTCTTTCCTGGACTTGGGTGGATGCTGGCTAGATCCACGTGGGATGAGCTATCACCAAAGTGGCCAAAGGCATATCCTTGTTGCTGTAGTGAATTTTGTTTTGATTATACTTTTCTATGCTTTTCTATGCATTTCTTCTAAATGTTTTCTTTCACAATGCTTCACTTACTGGGATGATTGGTTGAGGTTAAAAGAGAATCATAAAGATCGACAATTTATTCGGCCAGAAGTTTGCAGAACATATAACTTTGGTGAACATGTATGTATTCTCACTTTTCTTGTTCATTACCTCCCAACCTCTAGTGTTTTTATTGTGCAAGCAGTCACGTTCAATTCAGGGATTTAGGGTATTTATTATAATGCATTTATGCACTGATTTTAATTTAATATCTATTAGTGATGCTAGAAAATCTTATGCTAAACTGGGATAGCCCTTCAACAAAATGGCTTCTTTGCCCCCTTGTGAGACTGAAATTTTTAATGCCTCAGTTCTCACGTCTTGTGCTTTATGCAGGGTTCTAGTCTGGGGCAGTTTTTCAAACAATATCTTGAGCCAATCAAGCTGAATGATGTCCTGGTAATTACCAATCTCACTTCTGTATCATTCCATCTAGTCTAATTTTGTCGTCTCTTTATTCAACATTTTCACACTCTGTTTTTATTTTCTATCTTCGCTTCCAAGGTTGACTGGAAATCAATGGATTTGAACTACCTGATTGAGGTAATGCGTGCTTTAATACATTCGGTTTGAATGTTGCTTTCATTACATCTATAATCAATACATCTTTCAACCTGTTTGTAGGACAAGTATATAAAGCACTTTGCTGATATTGTGAAAAAGGCTAAACCCATTCGTGGAACGGATCTTGTACTAAAGGCACGTAACATTGGTGGTGATGTTCGCATACAGTACAACGACCAGCCAGACTTTGAACGCATTGCACGTCAATTTGGTATTTTTGAAGAGTGGAAGGTGAATTTTCCTTGTTATTGAGTAACTTTCATTTAACTATCGTTGAGATTAGGAAAAGCCTATTTGATTTTATGAGACTGGAGAATCTTCATTAAGTCATGCCTTCATTGATTATGCAAGTAGCTCTGAAAATAAAATAATCCATAGCGCTAGCTATACCCAGTTGTTAATTTATTTATTCATCTGGATTTGTTTGTTTATGTTTCCTATAATTTTTCAGGATGGTGTACCAAGGACAGCTTATAAAGGAATAGTTGTTTTCCGATATCAAATCCTACAACGTATATTCCTAGTTGGTCCGGGTTCTCTCGTGCAGCTTGGAGTTAACGATTCTTGATGCAAAGATGAGGTTGGTTTTGCCTAACTTGCTGCCATTTCTCGGCTTAAAATTGTAGACTCCAATTTGATAATTGGGATAACATAAATAGCATCTGAGATATTTCTCCTCTTGGTTAATGGACAGAGTTCAAAAGGACAAAGTTTTGTTTCCAAGGTTCAACATTTAGGTTCAAGAAAAACATTTGTTCTTGAAGCACAAGGGTAACTCATACCAGTAGAGAACCAATGTTAACTAAACCTAGATGAGCCAGCTGCGTTTTTTCCCCCGTGATTTGAGTGTTGCAGCTGGCTATGTCTTCATTCTCTTCTGTAATTTGACTTCAGAAACTTTACCTAATTGTCGCATTCAACAAGTAGCAAGCTCCCACATCTCTGTTGTCCTCAAGGTGGTTGTCTCCATACGTCTACTACATATTCGGTGGGTCGTCGCAGAGCAAGAAAGGCGAATCGTTGTTCTTGTTACGTCTCGAAATTATTATCATATTATTGTTTCCTTGATGGAAACCATACCTTCTGAAGGAACATGTAACCCTAATCCCTGATGTACGATATCTTGAAAGATGTAATATCATGTAGCATACCAGAAAACCAAAATGTTCTAATATGAAATGAATTATGTATGTTGATTGATCTTGCTAAAATTTTATATTGCTTTTGCTTACAGATGATACTACTTATACTCCCATCTTTTTCTTTCTATATTTGAAAATTAATTGAAATTTTTTCACAAAAAGAGCACCTTCAACCCTTCTTCTCCTTCTACGATATCAACACTTTATTGTTTATTGGGTGCTAGGGGCACCGGGTAACTTACCTAACCCGCATCCTCCGGTTAATTCTATGATTAGTTCACGATAATTTGGATTATGGTGGTGCAATTTGATTGGACCATATTCTCCTTTTCCTTTTTATGAAGGTTTCATTATTTGAAATTAATAGGTGAACATCAAAATACTCCAAAAAATATTCTAATAAAACAACTAACTAATTGTATAAAATAAAAAGAGATATTTAGTTATATACTCATTCTTAGCACTAATATTATAGATAAACATTACACCATTTAATTTCTATAAATCAACCCAAAAAATAACAGTTGGCCATATTAAATTTAATTTTAACTATTAAATTAATTTGATACTTTATTGAGTTTTTTGGATTTTTTTAATAAGGTTTTGGGATTGGACTTGTTTTAAGAAAATGATGGCGGTTTTGTAATTTATAAGAAGTTAAAAACTTCTTTATTATGTTGTAAATAGGCTTTGATGATTTTTTTTAAATCAATTTCATATAAGGTATTTTTATAATTTCGGCCCCTATATGGATTTTTTTAATAAGGTTTTGGGATTAGACTTGTTTTAAGAAAATGATGGCAGTTTTGTAATTTATATGTTGTAAATAGACTTTGAGGATTTTTTTAAAATCAATTTCATATAAGGTATTTTTATCATTTCGGCCCCTAGATATAATAGTGAATCTCCCAAATAAAAAATATCTGATACGACCTGTCGTTCTTAGTTAATTGAAATCGTCGAACCTAAAAACCTAACTCTCATCTTCATTCTCCCCTCAGTTCCGTTCCCGCCGAACCTTCACCTTACCAGCAGCAGCAACCATGGCCTCCATTCTCTCCAAGAAGCAAAGGCAGAAGCACAAAAGCACAAAGCTCTCCGACCTCAAAACCCTAGGCCACGACCTCCTCTCATCCAGAGCCCACGTCAACAACCTCCCTAAGCTCCTCTCCTTCGTCTCCCCAACCTCGCCTCCCCAGTTCGTTCTCGAGTCCCTCCTCTCTCTCCAGGCCTTCTTCACCCCTCTCTTGCCTGACCTACCTTCCTCTTCTTCCAAGCCTTCCGCTTCCAATGCATCCCAGGACGACCCCGATTTCATCTACCGGACTTGGCTCCGGTCCAAGTTCGACGAGCTCGTCGAGTCCCTCATCCAAGTCCTGCTTTCTCCTCAATCCGATGAAACTCTCAAGGTCAATTTTCTTTTTGTTAAATTTCCGTTCTTTTTTGTTTTGTTTTGTAATTATAGTTTTTTTTTTCCTTCTAAATTGTGCTTGCTGATACTGTGATTAGGAGGTGGTGTTGGACACAATAATGGAGTTTGTGAAGTCTGGAAATGGGGGAAGGTTTCACTCTGCTATTTACCATAGGTTGCTTCGTAGTATTGTAAGTTGTACCCGTTTCTCCAAAAGCTTGATTTGAATTTTTTTTTTTTCTTTCTAATGTTATTGAAAGAGTAAGTTGTAATGTGGTGTTCTTATCGATAGGTTCACTCTACGACACCAGCTAATTTCTTGTTAGACTTGTTGGCATCCAAGTATTTCAAGTATATTGACGTCCGGTAAGGTCACATGGCTTCTATTGTTTACTGGAGGCTTTAGTCAGGAAAGTTATGTTACGGTTACTTAAAAAAGTATTGTAATTGTTGTATTTGTTTGTTGCAGTTATTTTACCTACATCAGCTTGGAAAAACTCTCTAGAGTTCTAGATGCAAAAGACATTTCTGGTACTTCCGGCTGTGGTCCTTGCTGAAAGTTTCATAATTTTTTGTTTCATCTTTTTGGGGGTGGTTGTGGTGGTGTTATCTTACTTAGTTTATTGTTTTGTATCTCCTTTAGATGACAGAAACCTGAACACAGACTGCAACGATGGGGGGCATCCAAGTGAAAGGTTAGTATAATCCACAATGTTATCACTTTGGAAATTTCTGTTCTCTTTTTTTTCTCATTGCCTCTGTCTTGTTAAGACATGTGAATGACCCCAATGTATAATATATATATATATGCATATATGCTAATGTGTTATATTTCTTAGTATGTTGATGCTGCAAGATGTTAGCTTTTGATTTCTTAAAATCATTTACTGGCAGCATGGATCTATTAATTCACAAGATTCATTACATAATGTCACACATCCCCTCTCTGGAAGCCTCAGTTGAGAAAACTGATTATGACATGTGGAGTGGATCAGGTGAGTGTTCCCTGCCTTCACAAATCAGTGCTTCAACAGTTAAACTCATACTTTACTTTGGTGGAAGATATCATTATTGATTACTGATTAAGATTCTTGTGTAAAGGTGACGATGAAGATATTTCTGGGAATCTTAAAGCAGAAAATAAACAGCACATGACTGAGAAGCACAATGATAAGGCAAGCTATCAATTATCTTCAGAAGATGATGTTTCAATGCAACTATTAAAATTGTTTGTGCATTCATTCACTAGATTATCCTCTGTATATTTCTATGAGATTAAAGTTCCACATTCTCTTTGGATAATGTCTTCAGGTGTTGACTGCAGCCAGTATTGCGAAAAAGATGAAATTGAAATTTACTAAAGCATGGTTATCATTTCTAAGGTTACCACTTCCACTTGATGTGTACAAGGAGGTAAGGCTCATACCTGCCACACCATGATTTCTCATAAATGTTGTGCCCGAACAAAATTTAATTGGTTTTTTATTGTTATCTTAAATGTTGTGACTTTTGATGCTCAGGTTCTTGCCACACTCCATCAGGCAGTCATTCCTTATCTATCTAACCCAGTCTTGCTATGGTAAAGTTTCTTACCAAATACGTTTATGTATATTTTTCCAATTTGTTCTTTGTGACCTTGAGTCTATTCATTGCTTGACAACATGCAACAACTTCTTTCTAAGATCATGACATTTCATTTATTGACAATGTGCAGTGATTTCTTAACTCGGTCATATGACATTGGTGGTGTTATCAGCGTCATGGCTCTTAGCGGCCTCTTCATCCTCATGACACAATATGGTTTAGAGTACCCCAACTTTTATGAGAAACTTTATGCATTACTGGTTCCTTCTATTTTTATGGCAAAACATCGATCAAAGTTTTTTCAGGTAATGCTGATCATTACTGCGGTAACAGTTGTTAAAGATATACTTCTATAACACAAGGCATGTATATCTATGTATGAGTGTGAGTGTGCATTTGTGTTGTTTTACAATTATTTGCAATTAAAATAGAAAGTGAATCTTAACATATGATAATATATGCTTAGATGTGTGTGTTATCTTTAAATCTATTGAGTCAACTAGACTGGTTATATGTTATCATTAAAACACTCATTTACTCATTAAAAAAAGAAAACTAAGGGGATTTGACAAAGTCATTCAAGGGTAATGACCTTCCCATCAGTTGTGGCTTTGATTGATTTCTTCAGAGTTTAAGTTCTGGAGCTTAAAGTACAGGAAACTCTGTTGCAATAATGCATCATGAACATGAGGTTGCTTGCTTGGTCTGCATAATTGTTGAACACCCGGTTTAAATGTTTATGTTGGATGAATTGGTAATTTTATACTTGTGCTATTTAATTTTGCAGCTTGTGGATGCTTGCTTAAAATCACCACTTCTTCCTGCATATTTGGCTGCTGCTTTTGCTAAGAAATTGAGCAGGCTGTCAATTTCAGTTCCTCCGTCTGGAGCGTTAGTTATTATTGCGTTAGTTCATAATCTTCTACGGAGACATCCTTCAATCAATTGCTTGGTGAATCGGGTATCCGAACAATCTTTAATTGTTTCTTTGTCAATATATTCACTATCCTTTTGATCTGAATGCAAGTGAGGTCAGCTGTACTGTTCTTTGTCAAAGTATTCATTTCATACATGATACATTTGAGGAGACTACTGTTTATGCAGGGAGGTGGTGGTGCAACTGTGAAAGATGATCCAGAAACGGAACAGAGGGTTGCTGATGGTGTAAATGACACCGCAACTGCTTCAGCAGATAAGTCAGTCAAAAAACCAGGCATTGACCCTTTTGATAATGAACAAAGTGATCCTATAAAATCAAATGCCATGAGTAAGTGTCTTTTCCCGCTAAATGTGATTTCTGCATGCCAAATACCTGCATTTCATGCAAGCCGTGAATGTGGTATACTTGCTCAAATTTTATTTGAAAGCAGACAACACACACATTATTGCTTTAATTATTAAATAAATTTTACTTTTACATATTGATGAGATGTTTTTGAACAGGAAGTTCACTCTGGGAGATTGATACCCTCCGTCACCACTACTGCCCTGCTGTATCAAGGTTCATGCTTGAGTCCTGATCGTGTGTCGTTATTATATGGTCCTTATACCTTTTGATTTTTCCTGATATCCTTTTTCTTTGTTGTTAGGTTTGTTTTGTCACTTGAGAATGATTTGACAGTCAGAGCCAAAACCACTGAAATTTCTGTTGGAGATTTTAGCTCAGGCTCATATGCAACAATATTTGGAGAGCAGGTATTAATATCATGTCTCAGGATTCATTGAGTAATATAATAAATTTAATGCATTTTTCAATTTTATCTTTTAAAGGATAGAAAGAAAAAAAAAAGTTGTGGAAATTTGGTACTTACAATAGTTTAGTTCCATCTGTGGACGTGTTGATTCCTGTACATTTGGTCATCTGACAGCAAGCTACGTTTGGCA